GTATCTGAATCGTATGCCGCGGCTTTTACCATCTGATGAACATTTAAAGGCGTGTCGATTGCTTCACTGAATTTTTTTACCATTCATTAGCTCAAAATAATCATTATGTTAATGATATTTATTAAAGGAGATCTTACCCAACATGTCGTGCTGTTCTAACTTCGAATTTTGTCTGCCAAATATGTTATAAATATTACGATAAATTAATCATCGACATCAAGTATAGAGAAACATAGTATCGTCGTTTATTTTAGTTACCGGAGCTCGTTGTAATTCATTAGCAACATGTACTCGTTCACCCGCAACATCCAATAAATCAACTGTCAAAACTAAAGATTGCAATCAAGTCCAATCAAAAGATAAAAATCAATGTAAAAAGATTAATTTACACAACCACATAAACTCTTTCTAAATCGAAATACATATAATCACACCCTCGGGACTAGAAAAAAGTGTGATTTTAAAGAGGTTGTGACTGTATGGAGATCAAATTCCTATATTTATAATAATTGGGACCAGGAAAAGTGTTATTGCATAGAGGGTATGACTATATAGGGTGTGACTTTATAGAGAGGTATGACTGTACACACATAAACACTGAGTATTCACCGTAATATCCACATTAATCTGCAACTCTCGATTTATACTCTGGTCGACCAAAAATTCAAAGCTCTGCGAGACATGCAAATACTCTCGACACTCGCTTAATATCAAAAACCATAAACAAATCGAGACGATAAGTGTTGCTAGGCCACCTTGTGTGGTTTTTTGTTGATAGCCTGAATCAACTTTCGGGAATGCGTCAAATAATAGGGTTTTTTTATAGAGCCGTGATATCATTATAAAGTAATTTTTTGACATGAACTCGATTCTTGTTAGTTTTATGATCAACACGGGATATTTTAAAATTTAGAATTAACGTTAACGTTAACGATATCAAAAAAAAAAGAAATACTTCTAGTTTTTACCATGAAACGTGGGTATTCGGATCTTATTTGTAGTTAATTTAATAATAAATATGTATCGCAAATATGAATAACTAGGATGTCTCGAAATAATTCTCTTGATAACAGTTTATATTGATTAAAACTTTCCATAGTTAAAAATTGTTTACCGTTACTAGTTTTTAAATTCAGCGCCGGGTCGGGTTTCGGATTGACCCGAACCGGTTGGAGCATTACTGTCGGTGAAACACTGACAGGACTACTAGTATCTTTCACAGGTCACCTATTCCTGAATGGGCGATGTGTGAAGACATCAGTAACTTAGTTGACATACTATTATTGCAAAACACTGGTGCCTTTCGCAGATCACCTATTCCCGAATGGACGATGTGTGAAGATATTGGTAGCTTAGTTGGCATACTGTCATTGCAAAACACTGGTGCCTTTCACAGGTCACCTATTCCTGAATGGGCGATATTGGTAGCTTAGTTGGCATACTGTTGGTGCAAAACACTGACAGGACTACTTAGTGCCTTTCACAGGTCACCTGTTCCCGAATGGGGGATGTGTGGAGACATCGGTGCCCTTTCGTAGGTTGTTTCCCGCTTTCAAATGGGGTGATTTGCGATTTATTGAAAGGCTACGAATCAGTGAGAACCAGTGTTGTGTGCGTTGTGTGCTATTATTTTAATGGCCGGTGCCTTTCATAGGTCGAATGGGCGATTTGCGAAGACTTCGATATTATAGCAATATTTCAAGCTACCGGTTTAGAAATAAATACCTAAACTACCGCCTTTAAATGGTGGTTAGGACAGCTTCATCATCCCCTACTAGAGGGGACTCGTGCCCTAAAAGGGACAAGGAAGCATGGCCTCATTGACTGTTCTCGGAACCTAGCTGGATAGCATCAACACTAGTGTTCGAATAATGCACTGGTGGTCTGGTGAAGGTTCGATTCCTTCTAGGTCGGGGTTCGGTAGCATCAACATTTGTGTTTGTTTGACATAGTCATTCGGCACTAGGTCGGGGGTTCGGTGGTTGCGAGAGATGGTTGGGGGTATATGTTGTTAATACGATACTGGGTAGCTTTAGCATCTTACTTGCATTTAGACTATTGGCTTGGCCCAATTCTAATATTGTAACGAAGGAGGATAATAATATTCACAATGAATTCATCATATCAACAGTACTAATAATATAATAATTTAAATCTAATACTGAAATTGTTCAACTAACATTACAATAAACCAACCAATCGATGGATATTAGATTTTGATTTCATATTTATACATATTGAACTATAATTAATAAAAAATATCCTGTAATTGAGATCCTTCACTAGCGACATAGATCACGAAACTTTAGAAATGCCGGCCGAGATTATGGGAAGTTTGATATGAACGAAGGAAAACTTTAACACCTAACAAATATAAAGATGCACTTGATCAAACCTATACTAAAAATAATATCCTTAGCAAATTTTAGAACTAAGAGTAACTACCAATAGTATTAGTAGTTCTTGTAATTCTTTGCTGAAATTCCAAGTTCAGTTATTATACGGTACTAGTATTTATATGAAAAGTTGAGGGAAAGTTTAACCCTTCAAGATTGATTGTTCATGATATATCAGGTAAAAAATAGATTCAAAAGCAATCGGGTCAAATGATCAAAGATTTATATTGTTTTGATTTAATCTTTTCAGGCGGTTGCGGAGACATGTACGCCTAGAAATCGTATCATCTGCATTTAGTGAACTTTCCATGATCAAACAACCTCGTCTAGTGAATGAGGCTCTAAAAAACGATATTGCAAAGATGCATGGGGTGCAATTGAAAACATCTGCAAAGTAGTTAGTTATAGTGATGTAAGTGAAAGTTTTATTATCACTAATGTAAAAATAAATAGTGTAATCGAGCAACTAAACAAACAAACAAATGATTAAATAATCCCCTCATACCTTTACCTTACTCTAAATCACTTATTTTTAACTATATTTGTCATACAGTGCCCGACAAAAGTATCCCCGCACCGATAATTTTTGATAGATCATCTGTAGGTCCCTGAAATTTTATATGCATATAGTACATCACAACCGCTGATCATTGATACCTTTTTATTGATTGATAGATTCTATATCGGGTATTGTATGTTCATAAACTTTCGCATCCCAAATATAATCAATTATTTCATAACACACATCCAAATATCCAATAATCTAATTCTTGATATCCAGTGATCTGATTTGAACAAAAATACTACTGTTCGATTTGTCTCGACTAGATGAATCGAATAGTAGTATTTTTGTTCAAATCGGATCACTGGATATCGAAATATTGCATCTTAAAGTAGCAAATTCATTTTTTTGATATAACAAAAATGAATCGAACGTGATACATGTATATATCTCGATCTTCCGTAATCTGAGTCAAATAAAAATAATACCATTCAATTCGTCTTGACTAGACGAATCAAACGGTATTATTTTTGTTCGAATAGGATTACTGAAGATCGAGATATATACATGTATCACGTTCGATTCATTTTTTGGCGATCAATTTCTAATGAAAAATTGATCGGCAAATTATGAATCGGTCACTTTAGTATGCAATATTTCGACATCCAGTGATCCGATTTGAGCGAAAATACCATGATTTTATTTGTCTAGATTAGACAAATCGAATAGTAATATTTCCGCTCAAATCGGACCACTGGATGTTGAGATATTATGTCCTAAAGTGATGAAAGTTTATGAACACGCAATACCCGATATAGAATCTATCAATCAATAAAAAGGTATCAATGATCAGTATTTGTGATGTACATGTACTATGCAATAAATTTCAAGGACCTACACATGATCAATCAAAAATTATCGGTGCGGGGATACTTTTATCGGGCACTGTATTTGTTTATACCACCGCTAGTACCAATAAAATCATTCACATTTTTATCACTAATTACCACGCTCCGACAAATTCCATCCGCAATTCTAAACATAAAACTAGCCGTGACCCAGATTCCACCCACGATTCCACACAATCTCACCAGAAACATGTATTTCTGATTAATTTTTAGTTCTTTTGGTAAATCGAATAAGCAATAACAATAAAATGCATTACCCGGAATTCTTTGTTGCCCTTTCTCAGTATCAGGTATACGCGTAAGCCGTCACCGAATATTGATTGGTGTATAAGATTCGATTAATTTTATCGATGTATGTGGTTGGTACCTGATGTAAAATTTAACAATAGAAATAGAAAATAGATATATCGAACAATATTTTACTTACCACTGATACGTAATATGAAAAAATTTCCGAATTTTTTTACAAATTGAGAATATAAGTAAGTAATATCTAATATAATCTTAACAAAAAGTATACATACTTACGTGCTTCAGAAATTTCTATACTATTGTCTAACGGGTTGAC